ACTGTTAAAGTGTTACCTTTTACTTAAGATTGTTATTTACGTTATAATACATATCTACGCTTTAAGGTCTTTAAGTGAATAAAAAAAATTACACTAGTCAATCAAGAATTAAACATTATAAGAGATACACATATCTATTGTCGAGGATGTTAAAATATGCTTAGGTTCTAAAAATATAAGTTATGGTGAAATATGAGTAATTTCCTGGTCGTGAACATTAGCCTATAATATGCAGTATAAAATTATGTTTACGCCTTGTTCATCTTTCCTGACCATAGTCAGTCAATTTTTTAAAATGTATAATATTATCAGCTAGAGTTATGTCTTACGAAAAAATCCAGTCAATTATATAACCATAACTATTGTAGAGTAGTGAAGTGTTACCATGTGAGGGCAGTGAGGGAGACGAATATCACGAGGAACTTCATCTTGCTTGTCAGAAGTAGTATGAGGACCAACATCCACCAACCTCTTTTATACTGGCTGTGTAATGACCCCAGCAAGAGTTCATCGTCACCCAGTCAGCTGGACAGTCTCAGGCTCCCTATCCGCATGACTGAAAAAAAAATTGCATTTTTCCATGGATGATCATGAACACTTATAAACACCTGTCTTAGAAGTTAATGGCAATTAATAAAGTACTGAACGTTTTTCTAGATTTATTTTGAAATCGTACGTGTTCCTTAAACTTTGTTATACAGTACTCAATATGCATGAAAAATCTTTTGACATGAATCTAACGTTTCATATTGTCTCCAATGATTTTTTTTTTTTTGCATTATTAGGCCATCAGGAATGTTCTTGGCACTTTCATGGTTTAATAGCGATGTGTTCGATGCATTTACTGTGTATCATAACAATAAATATTTAGCTTTTTTCATTTTGAATAACGGTGTATGAAGTGATTATAGGAGTACATGTAAAGAACCTAGATAGTTACTGTTAATTTAGCCAGATGAATGTTATCTCTACTAATATTTAACTGATGGATCCAGGACTTGCCTCGCGTGTTCGATCACGAGGCATCCCCACTCTATCCTGCTGTAAATGGTTACATGAATTTACAAGCACGGGAATGTTAAGGAGGTTTGCTTGCATAAAACAAGCTTAGAATATAGTGTGCTGTATCCACACTTTTTCTAACGGCCACTCGAGCTTATGGTCCCTACTGCCACTTTCAGATAATGATATACTCTATCAAATGCGTTTTAGGCGTCTATTGTTTAAGCATACTTGTGTATTATAACATTGGTGGAATACAAGAGACACGTTATATGTAATTCCATTTTTTTTATTGTGTATTGTAGAGTGTTTGAAGTAATATAGAATAGGCACTTAGGAACCATTATTGATGGTAAGAAAGAAACATATATTGAGATAATTATTACTCCAAGATCATAACACCGTCATCCACGCGATCACCTGTTAGAGAAAGTCGACTATATTATGGTCGATTAGTTATTTGATTCTTAAGGAGTTTTGTTCTACTGTCAGGATTATTAAGTAACTTTAAATTATATCCTACCAAAATGGGTCTCATTGAACAGTTTCACCTTATAATATTTAAAAAGAAAAATAGATTGGAAAAAATCTAAATGAATCAATATATGATTGACTTATATGTCGATCAATCAATTTAGGTGGCAACCTTTATTCTAAGTGTTGGCAACTGTGAGGTTCCCGGATTATCTTAGTAAACAATCCTACATTTTGCATCTCTTTAAGAAACACCTTTCGATTCCTCTCATTCATCTCAGTCTCTGCCTTACTCATTAATGTCTCCTCGATATCGTAGGAAGAGTTTTTGGGGGGGGGGGGGATGAAAGACACCAAAAGTTCATTATGTGGACCTTCTCACATGTTGACTAAACTTACCAATATTATTGGAAATGTGCAAACCCCCTCTAGAGTTATTTTAAGGACACTCATACAGATACACAGGCAGAGAGGACTAGGAACAGTAATTTGCCTCGTGTATGTTGTCAGTGCTGTTAAGAGTTCAATATCCTATTGACTGATAATAATGTGAGTAATACCACCTGTCGACTGAAGACTGCGGGTGTGATGTTGCTTACAGCGGACCAGAAAAATTATGTTTAATCAGTGCATTTTAAATCTCCTTTTGTTACTTACAGTTAATATGTTATTGACAAATGATGCCACATTTTAATGAAAATAAATAATAATAAACAATGCACGTTAATAAGTCATGTGATATCAATAGTTCATAAAATCTTACTAAATTTTAGATTAGCATAATTCTCTCTGGACTGACACGCTATCAGCTGCCACATATGACACTTCTATGTACAGTACACGGCAATGGTACAAGAACTGCATTTACTGATATATTTTGGAATTAAGTGAAGTATAAACATCAGAAGAGTTATCAATATAGGTTTAAACTAATGTTCTTTTATGATTAGGTGTTGTTCAGTTGTACTGAATATCGTGAGTAGTTACCACTGAAATGAATTATTTTGCTGTATCCCAAACTGAGTGTACATGGTGCTGCCTCTAAGGGATATTTAATCATACCATCTTTCCCTCCCAAAATGGTGGTCTATTTTCATTGGTTATCGCTAATTTTATCCTGATTAATTGTGTTTTTATTAAGTCTTATATCAGATTATTTTTTCTCAAAAAATGCTTTCATATTTTAAAAGCAGAAATTTCCTCATCATAATATATATATATATATATATATATATTTAATTCACCCCTGAAGATGTGAATTACAAGCTTGGGAAATTGTGTTTTCTTTCTTTCTTGTGGTTATCAGCATATATATATATATATATATATATATATATATATATATATATATATATATATATATATTTATTTATTTATTTATATATATATATTTATATATATATATATATATATATATATATAAATATATAAATATATATATATATATATATATATATATATATATATATATATATATATATATATATATATATATATATATATATATATATATATATATATTAGAGAGAGAGAGAGAGTCTTTATGCCAGCAGCATCTGGTGTTCTTAGGTTCATACGCTCACCCATCCAAGTACTAACCAGACCCAACGTTTCTTAACTTCGCTGAGCGGAAAACAAACAAACGTTTCGTATTGTATTTCAGCCCCGCGAAACGGTTTTGTGTAATTGCAACTTGTTAATTCTTTCAGTCTGGCTGAGGCCATCAGTGGTTGATGATCTTTGGTATATAATAAAAGATCAGTATACAAGATATTCTTTTGCACAGTTTTATGATTTTGCTATATCATTAAGGATTATTATATGTTTGATATATTGTTGAAGAGGGAGTGATCATTCCCTTGGAAAATATCCATTATTTGCCTTTTCATATACTGACATGAAATACAGGCAGCGTAATAGAGTTTGGTTAATACGACATTTAACTCCCTATACACATAAGACGTTGGTGAAGGGAAAACGTGTGTAAAGACTTAATTTCACTCACTGTTTTGAAAAGTTAACTACGTTTTCTGGAAGTTCATGAACTGTTCAGATTTTATGGAATGTAGTTGAGACTTCTAAAGATATTAAGATAAAGTAGCTTTTATACCCCATCCCATGGAGACAATTAATTAAATTATTGAAATAAAAGAACAATCGTCTGTCAGTTTGACGATTCTTTCGATTTATGCAAACTCTTTTGAAAAAAAAGTTTGGTAATGTTAATTCCTTTTACTGTATAACTTAACTTCTAGGAAATTATAAAATGAGCTCTGCCTAACCTATGTGATCTTTTTTAATACATGCTAATAAAATTATGATCTCAAAGTTGCTAAAGTGCCACCCTTGAGAGCCTAATAGAATACACATCAAACACCTATGTCCATTAATGTACGGACATGACACATTGACCAAAAATTACCAAGTTATATATTTTGGCAATATTAATATAATTTTCAGAAATTAGTGTAAATTGCTGAAATGTTAGAGCCGATCACTTATTATTCTAAAACAAATATTTTTGGGGCACATCTCCTTGAGTCCTACTCATCAGACTATCATGACTTCCGCCTGAACCCTGGTAAAGATGGTATCGTGTACGGTCACCATCACATTACTTCTCTTGTACCGCCCTAAAAAACGTACCATTGTACCACAGATGTTACATGAACTGTCACTGCTCCAGGAGGTTAATACGATGGCAAGGAAAATATATAGTTGATGATAATGTATATGGGAGAGGATTATAAGAGAATGAAAGAAAATTTTGTTCTATACGAGACTTTATTTCTGTAAGATGCGAGACTAGAGAGACAAAACTCTTCATCGGTCTTATGGTTGAGTGTGAGAAGTGGGTAAATGCAGACCATGTTTGTGTTTGTGGAGAGAGTAGCGTTTGTGTTGATAAAAAAAATAAGAAATGCATGAAAAAAATTAATAATTATTTTATCAATTTTTTTTTACGGAGATTAGCCCACCCGGGCACAGATCACTGACCCACATAAAAATAATTATTTAATAATAATAATAATAATAATAATAATAATAATAATAATAATAATAATAATAATAATGATAATTATAATAATAATAATAATAAAAATAATAATAATAATAATAATAAATAAATTTCAAAAACGAAAAATAAATCAAGAGTGAGAAACGATCTACATTATTTATGTTGTGTTGTCCAAGTAAGAGAAACAATTGAGACCCTGCAATTGTGTGTAAATGAGGTAGAAAGTGAGATCAGCAACCTGGGACTTGGTCACAATTTTCGTGAAACCATATGGCAGCAGGGTCTACCATTAGACAACACATTATGCTTCCAATATCTTCCCAGGCGGTAGTACCTCCCTGTTTGGTCGCTGCTTACTGCCTAGTACCTTATCATTTTCCATCAAAATTATTTTTAAAAACTATTTTCAGCATCTAACTATCAAACCCGTATAGGAGAAGAGATGAATGACTCGAGAACATAATATTTTGAAACTAATGTTCGTCTGGGATTTCAAAATACAAGAAACTGTTAAGGTTTTATTGGTGTCAGTATTTATTACATCCTTTGAGATGATGTTTATGGAAGTAATAAGGCAATTGTTATAGGTCCTTGGGCGAATCTTCCTTGTTGGTAGTTAGAAAAAGTTGCTGCTCTAGTAGAAACGTTTTGTCGGCTATTAGATGCAAGAAGCTCTGTGAGTAGCCTCTTGTAAGACTGAGTGACGGTATATTTCTTTACTTAAACGTTGGTACTCGGGGTGCAGTAATTGCCGTAAAAGGCTGTGTTGTCAATTTAGTTTGCTGATTGGTTTGGTGGAAAATGGTGCACAACTTATAGTTGTGCTGAATATTTGTTTTGTTTTTAATGCTGAAAGTTTAACCCAATGATCTATTTGTTATGTTGTCTCATTGTATGTAGGTGTAAAAGTCTCAAGGGGTGGCTGTGTGCTGGTATTTACTCGCAGGTTTCGTGTTGACCTGCGTCACAACACAACGTCTCTTTAGTGGCCTCACCGTCGTCTTCCCACGGGCCATCACAGAGTCTCACGTACAGGAACACCTGTGTGTGGCAGTAAGACATTTTAACACATGATTATTAGATTAAACGCTCATTTTTAAAGTTTATATATTGTGAAGCTTATAAATAATTATGTATTTTTCCAGAGAGTATGAATAGTTGTGTGTGTGGGGTTATAATTTGTTTCCATGCATGTGTAGACTACATTGGATATTTTCCTATTAGTCGTACGGGTACAAGATCAGAAAAATATAAGCAATGTTACGAATGATCATTGTGATACTCAAATCATAAAAAGTCTTAAATCATAGTCCAGACCAAGATACTTTGGTTATAAACAGTGTATTTATGCAGTTGAACCGCAACTTTTTTCTCCATTGTCTTGCGATTGTTCTAAACATTCGTGATCTAATTGGTAAACATTGTTCCGAGTTTAGACTCAACTACACCGAGGAATTGACGGAAATAGCAGTTATCAACGTGGCATCACTGTGTGAAGGAGTAATGCTCGCGTTTGGTGAAAGAGGGCGAATACCAAAGCGAACAACTAACGACGTTCAGTATTTGAATCGTGCACCGGCGTTGTGTTGAATCAGCTAAAATGTCCATCGATTTCCATTGTACCCATAATAACTTTATGTTAAATAAATATATGTGATTATGCAACACCATTACATGTGTTTGTCGCCGTTTTCATTATAATTTCTGTCTTCATGTGTTTATTCTTACCACCAAACCATTGCACAGGCCAAAATCACTTCGTCGACTGATCAGTGTGTTACCAAACTTGGTGAAACCTGTCCACACGCAGAAACTTTGTATCTTGTTTCGCATTTCCGACGGGAGACAGAAAACACGTACAATCCTGTCTTGTAAATATTTTGAAACAATTTTCAACTAATTTGGTTGTTGCAAATCTTTGGGGATACAGACCTAATCTTGTCTCGTAACAGTATAAAGACAATGCTGCTCAACAGTGTAGAAGCATTGTATCTTGGTCTGGTCACGAATTTAGAAATTCAACTATTTTCGAAACTTTAGTTCTAACCGGTAATTAGTTAATGTCAAGACATCATAGAAATTTAAAGACAAGCAAGTGACTTAATCTTAAAAGGGTGTCACTGAAGTATTGTTGCCAGGCAACAAGAATTACAAATCCATTTAAATCCAGAGAATCTATTTGGAATTAACTTTAGATTTAATGCACTAGCTTTCATTTTGTTGTTCCTGCACAAAAGAAGGTATTATTGTGCAACAGCTTCATAAGCTTTAAACCTTTTTTTAACCAGTTAGTTTAAGGATTATAATTGTACAGGTCTGTGGGTAATTTCCACCCTGTGATACTTTATAACAGGACAAGACAAGTAAAATGGGCCAAGATGACCTTTCGCTGCTTAAAAATTACTAAGCTATAAATCTAGAACACCAAGAATAACAGGAATAACAGTGGTCGGTATATACCAAAGATTTAAGGCCTCAAATTAGATTTGAAAATAACACCAAGGGCCAGGAACTAGTGTTCTCTTGTGAGAACTGCTTGTGACGTCCCCTTTATATACCTTTTGTGACGTAGTTCTAGCAGCAGTTATCGGATAATAATTGTTATTTACTCAGAAAAATAAGTTCTTCCCTCTCTCTCTCTCTCTCTCTCTCTCTCTCTCTCTCTCTCTCTCTCTCTCTCTCTTTCGCACTTGCTATTTGTTGCACAGACTCGTTTATCCTCCATGTTCTTTATCGTTTGCTTTATTTCAACGTGTATTACTTCAGACTTACTTCAGTTGGCCCAACGACGTCTTTACCCTCTTCAGCCAGGTCGTCACACATACTCTGGCCCACCGTCTTGCCGTCGGGAAGCTCGAAATTCAGGTCTCCTTCGCTGGTCATTTCGTTCCACTGTAAAGAAAATTTTATTTCTCCTGGCTAATAATGACACGGATTTATATGATTTAGCTGAAGCTCTAATGTATATGTTAAGATGTTAACTGCTTTATTTTAAAAGATTTGTGTTATTTGAGTGCTAGTGCTGTGATAGTAACATTCATATAGAAAATTATGGTGTTTGGGCTTACTATTTTTCCGGTAAATAATTCAGTATATGGCAGTAAAGGCTCACCTCTGTGCGGCATCTATCATGACAGTCTTGTTGATCTTCACAGTTTTCCACATCGAAGGCCTCCATGGGGAACACTTCTTCCTCCTCTGCAGACTCAGTAATGAAGGCGCCACAGTCACACTCTGGGACTCCTTGAGCCCTGCCAGTAGGAGTGGCTGATTATATTTCTATTTTAACATTACTCTTCATTCTGTTACACGTTAGTTAGCGTAAATGATCTTCGCATTTGTCGACGGGTGGAATTATACCCAAATTTGCTCCCATTTTATTTGTGGTTGAGAGCTGTCTGGGGAAATAAATATCGTCTGGTAATTAAAGTTTAAATTATTTTGCTAAACGTAATTTTACTTTAGATTTAATCCACAGAATAATGCATTATCGAGATTCTGTGAACAATGTGATGAAGCGCTTTATTTTTTGTTGCCCTTCACACCATGTGATCTAAATATTTGTATATCTACCGGTGATATACTGTACGCACACAGGGCGATGTGTGCAGAAAGTGTCTTCCATTCTCTTCTTGATCTCAAATCTATAAGAAATAAGTCTTAATGGATATAATGTTCAGTAAATAATACATGAACTATTAAAGTGTTACCTTTTACTTAAGATTGTTATTTACGTTATAATACATATCTACGCTTTAAGGTCTTTAAGTGAATAAAAAAAATTACACTAGTCTATCAAGAATTAAACATTGTAAGAGATACACATATCTATTGTCGAGGATGTTAAAATGTGCTTAGGTTCTAAAAATATAAGTTATGGTGAAATATGAGTAATTTCCTGGTCGTGAACATTAGCCTATAATATGCAGTATATAATTATGTTTACGCCTTGTTCATCTTTCCTGACCATAGTCAGTCAATTTTTTAAAATGTTGTATAATATTATCAGCTAGAGTTATGTCTTACGAAAAAATCCAGTCAATTATACAACCATAACTGTTGCAGAGTAGTGAAGTGTTACCATGTGAGGGCAGTGAGGGAGAGGAATATCACGAGGAACTTCATCTTGCTTGTCAGGAGTAGTATGAGGACCAACATCCACCAACCTCTTTTATACTGGCTGTGTAACGACCCCAGCAAGAGTTCATCGTCACCCAGTCAGCTGGACACTCCCTGGCTCCCTATCCGCATGACTGGAAAAAATTGTATTTTTCCATGGATGATCATGAACACTTATAAACACCTGTCTTAGAAGATAATGGCAATTAATAAAGTACTGAACGTTTTTTAGATTTCCTTTGAAATCGTACGTGTTCCTAAAACTGTTATACAGTATTCATTTTGACTTGTTGTGAGGCATGAAAAATCTTTTGACATGAATCTAACGTTTCATATTGTCTGCAATGAAATTTTTGCATTATTTGACCACCAGGAATGTTCTTGGCATGTCCGTGTTTTAGTAGCGATGTGTTTGTCAAGGTGTTGATGTTTGATGCATTTACTGATGCAGTAAATTGATGTAGTCACCGCTGAATACTGTGTCCTGTTATAGTTTTCTTTAACCTCTTTAACCTTCACGGATCGATACAGTAGAATGATTTTTATATTTTTTATTTTTGTGAATGAAGTGCACCAAAGGTTCATCGTGTACTAGACTCTCTAACATGTTGACTAAACTTAACATTATTGGAGGAAATGTGCGAACCCGCTGGATAGTTATTTTAAGGACATATACAGTATACAGACACACAGACAGAGAGGACCAAGAACAATACTTTGACTCGCTTTTGTTGTCAGTGCTATTAAGAGTTCAATATCCTATTTACTGATAATGGTGTGAGTAACACCACCTGTCGACTGAAGACTGCGGGTTTGATGTTGCTTACACCGGACCTGACGAATTATGTACAATCAGTGCCTCCTCTATCTTCCGTTTGTAATGTACATACAGTTTATATGTTATATTGACAAATGATGCCACATTTTAATGAAATATGATAATAATATACAATAAACACGCGAATGAGTCATGTGATAACATCAGTTAATAAAATATAACTAAAATTTAGATTAGCATAATTCTCCCTGGACTAACAAGCTGTCAGCTGCCACACATGATACTTCGATGTACAGTACACGGCAATGGTACAAGAACTGCACTCATTAATATATTTTGGAATTAAGTGAAGTTTCAACATCATAATAATTCTCAATATATGTTTAAACTAATGTTCTTTTATGATTAGGTCTTCTTCATATGATTGAATATCGTATATAATTACCACTGGAATTAATTATTTTGCTGTACCCCAAACTGATTGTACACGGTGCTTACTCTACAGAATATTAAATCATACCATCTTTCCATCGTAAAATGGTGGAATATTTTCATTATTTATCATTAATTTTCACCGGATACATTGTGTCTTTATTAACCTTTTTATCAGAAAAATTCTTACCCAAATCCTTTTTTATTTAAATAGTAGAAATTAGTTCATGATAGTAAAAAATGTATATTAATATTTGACAATTATGAAATAGCTAAAATGTTTAAGATAAAATATTTTCATGTGTTTGGTAGAACTCCTTCGTAACATGAAGAAAAGTCATTACTGATACTTTCTTGTTTGTCTTTTTGAGTGGAAGAAACTTGCGCTGATTTTTTTCGTGTTCATTGATAATTTTTTTGCAATGAGAAGTGGACGGAACATAAGACTGACTTTTAGTAAGTGGTGAGCATCAACAACAGTTAGAAGAAAACATTTATAATAATAATAATAATAATAATAATAATAATAATAATAATAATAACTGCACTAAATAAAAATAATTGATATTAAGTCAATTTCACTAAGGGCAGATTACAAAACCTTGAGATACTTGTTTCTAGTATAGTCCTTATGCCAGCAGGGCCCTGGCGCTCACCCATCCAAGTACTAACCAGTTCCAACGTTTCTTAGCTTCTCTGGTCGGACAACAAACGGTTTTCAAATGTTTCCAACGTTTTATATTGGATTTCAGCTCCAAGAAACGGCTTTATGTAATTGCAACTTGTTTATTCTTTCAGATCTTTCAGAGGCCATCAGTGGTTAATGAGCTTTGTTATATACACAAATAAAAGATCTGTATACAAGATATTCTTTTGCACAGTTTTATAATTTTGCTAAATCATTTAAGGAATATTGTTCGCGTGGTACATGGATTAGATTATGTGTTTTATATATTGTTAAAGAGAGAGTGATCATTCCATTATTTGGAAAATCGTCATTATTTGCCCTTTCATACACCGACATGAAATACAGGCAGCGTACTTATTTTCAGAGAGATGTCATGAAACCATGGCAGACTTGGGGATAAATACTGTAGGATTATCGAAAAAGAAGGCATAATAGAGGTTGGTTAATACGACATTTAACCTGCTATACCTGTGTGTAGTGACTTAAGTTCCTCACTGTTGTGATAAGTTAACCGGGTTTCCTAGAAGTTCTGGATATATTCAGAGTTTATGGAGTGTAGTTTGAAACGTCTAAATCTGATAGGATAAAGTAGTTTTTACAACCGATCCTCTGGAGACAATTAATTATTGAAATATAAACCCAATCGTTTCTCAGTTTCACCTTTCTTTCGATTTATGTAAAATCTTTTGAAAAAAGTTTGGCAATGTTAATTTATTTTACTATATAACATGCTAATAAAATTCTCAAAGTTGCTAAAGTGCCACCCTTGAGAATTCAATATAGTACACATCAAAGACCAATGTCCACTAATATTCGGACATGACGCCTTAACAAAAAAAGAACCAAATCTTATATACTGGCAATATTAAGTTAGTTTTCTGACTTCTGAAAGTGGAATTTTTATCTTGTTATTCACCTAACTCTCCTTCAAAACTGTCAACGGACCCCTTACATCATGTTCGAAAACCAACTGAAAAGGACTAAAACCAAGTGCATCCTGACAACTATCCCTAATGGCGAATAACCTTAGTGGCACGCCTTCATCTCACTCTTTCTCATTCTCCCTACAGTACTTGTTTAACAATGATTTAAATGTCTGATGGAACCGTTGAATGGCTCCCCTAGATTGTGGGTGCTAAGCAGTAAACAGATATTGCTGAATGCCCAACTCATTCAGGACTTGCTGGAAAATAGACTACGTGAAATTGCTTCTCCTGTCGGACTGTACCAATTTTTGGAATACCATATTGGGCAAAAAGTGAATCAACAGCCCTTACCACATTTTTAGCAGTGATTCATCTAAGTGGTATAGCCTCTGGGTATATAGTTGTTGCACACATAATAGTCAACAGGAACTGGTTGCCACTACGACTTTTTGGGAGAGGACCAACACAGTCTATTATTACCTTACTGAAGGGTTCTTCTATTGCTGGAATAGGCTGTAAAGGGGCTGGTTTGATCGGCTGATTAGGTTTACCTGTCATCTGGCATTCGTGACAAGTTTTGCAGTACTTTTCCACATCTCTCTTCAAGCCAGGCCAAGTTTTCCTAACCCCTAAGTGTCCTCCCAGAAAATCGTGTATTTGAAGAGCTAATGGGGCAAAGGAGCTGTCCTGAGCGTACTCGATTATAAGGCGAGTCATCTACCGATTCATATTTTGGTAGAGGCACATTTGGGTGATTCAAAGAGGTTAGCTGGCGACCATCTGGCAACTTCTGAGTAGGTTTCTTAACCCTTCTCTACATTTTCCTTCAACATGCCATTCCAATGTGGTGCCTGTCTGTCATTCACCTCGTGGACATCTGCAAATGTTGGAACAGCATCTATTGCACTACATTTTCAGACTGAGTGGACTCACTGCTATCATTCAGGGTATCATCGGGCAGTGGTGTCCAGGCGATATCCACTGTGTCCTCCTGTGACAGCTCCCTGCCCTGGAGATTCCGACATTTGTTCCCTTTCCTGCATCCCACACATCGGCGGTTGTTTCTCGCATATTCACAGCTTGTACAATTTTGGTTCCGGCTAGAAAACATGCAGCAAAATCTGTTACCCGTCATAATGCTCCACACTTCGAGAAGCAGGAATGTCTGCCATTGACATCTGCTTTGGTCTCATTCGGAGGAATCTAGTTCTTAGGGCCAGAGAGGTGACAGGTTGGCCAGCAGTGTCCAGGTAGTAGGGACATACATGCGTGGGAATGGGTGTGGATGTCACCTCTGTGGGGTGAGGACAACAGTCTATACAAAATCGGAATTATAAACTGGGAGCAGGAATTGTCACACCTGGCTCTTATTTGTATATCTATGGCAGGAATAATCACAACTTCTATTATCACACTGATGTAAGTATAAGCAATAAAGACTTACTTGGTCGATGTGGAGTGTTGCTGGCACCAGAGTGTCTGTTTACGTGTGGGCAGTGACAGCGTGCATAATATAGTTGGCCTTCTATCGTTGGCCTCAGAGGCGGGAGTCGCGAGACCCCACCTACTAAATTAGGCCTATCCACACTGAGGCGGCTGGGCATCACCAACCGTCACGCCAACCACTTACAACTCGCCAGGTGATCGCTGTTACACATACGGAAAATTTGCAATCAATGCCGTAAGGGATGAGGATTGAGGAGGGCCTTCAGTGGCAATGATTAGGGTGACGTCCGATATTCACCGAGGCACTGTAAAATTCCTGCTCCTGACTACTGAGTATATCCCCTCCAAATTCGCTGTAGACCAGGGAGGACACACAGTTACACCCACTACTACTACTGCTACTACTACTTTTTTTTTACGTGGCCTCCAGCCTCCGTCAATAGCCACACCTTCGCCGCCATTTTATTACCTTAAAATTAAATATCCTAACACAAAAGTAGCTACCCTAGATGTGTTGAGTTAGTTGAGCCGCAGATCTATGTGGCGTTCAGTGACTGTTGCCTCATAGTCAATATCTGCGAGGGTTGTCGGCTTTGAGCCGAAGATCTCGTTCTCCTAAGCAGAGAGAAGGACAGTCGACATCTCAAACAGGTTGTGACGCAACTTCTGGGCTGCTGCTTCCGTTCAGATAACACCTCCGCGAGTCTGGCGTAGAAGCATCTTGCACTTGGTCCCATCCCACCAGAAGTTGTGAACACCAGAGGAGTGAAGCTGCCTTGATCAACATTCAGAATTCTCTCCCCATATGCCCTGATCTTGTCATTCTTGCTCCTCCTATGTGCAGCATCGAGAGCTAGGTTACGGTGACATGCGGCCATGGGATAAAAAATCTTTATGTCGAAGAAGGCTCGCTGTCCCCGCGTCCAGAATCCTCGAGCACTGACGTCCACACGGGCTTCGTTGGATGTGTTTGAAGTCCTATGATGGAAATTCTCACCATCCAATGGAAGGAGGGTCGGTTCTACCCTGACATCATGACAGATTTCCTTCGACATATTTGCTGTGAAAAACCCTTCTTCGTCATGCCTCATGCATACGAAACCCCTTTTCTTGCATACCATGGAGTGATCGATGTCATAGGAAGAGCCACACACGCATTGGGAGGGCAAACCCTTACTGGCGTACCGTATCTTAGAGCAATGACATCTGTGAATTCTTGTTTATTAAGGATGAAGCCTTTTGCCCTTATCAGTAACGTTGTTAGCCAGTTTGAGGGGCCCACCACCTGCACTATAGCTACTGCTATTACTACTTTGCTCTCACTCAGAATCGAGTTTGACGATCATCCAGCTATGATTCATAAATATGAGTTATTAAAGATGCCACCTTCGTTGGTGAGTTCTGAGGTGGCTCGAGAGCCCAATACGGGAACGGCAGGGTCGTTCACAGAAGTTGCACTTCTGGAGGGCTACATCTGCCACTTGTATGCCTCGGTATGTAGTCGGGATAACTCGAAAGTATTGACACCTTCTGGTGCGGTGCTCCTCCAAGCGTTACGCTGTGGAGTGACGATTTCTCGGCTTTGTCTTAAGACCATTCTTGTACTATCGTGCACAAAAGTCCCTTCCACCAACCAGCCACAGTGTGAGTCCGAATCACCTGAGGTTGAATCAGTGAAACAGATGAAGAAAGTGCCATTATGACCCAGTGTTGGACCATCAAGGCATTTCCTTCAGTTGCTTCACTGATTCAACCTCAGATGATTCGGACTCACACTGTGGCTGGTTGGTGGAAGGGACTTTTGTGCACGATAGTACCTTTTCTATTGTCCACTAAAAGTTTACTGTCGTCCATCCGTATAGCATGGCCAGTTAAACGTAATTGTTCATGGATAATAGTAGCCTCGATAATCCCACAGTTGGTGTCAGCGAGTTTTCTGGTATTTTTCCCCTTGTCTTCTCAGCGAACTCCTGAGGATGGAACGTAGGCTACGTTGGTGAAAGTTTTCAAGTGCCTTAAGGTGCCTCGTGTATGTGACCCATGTCTCACTATTATATAGCAGGGTGGGGAAGGCCACTGCTTGTTATCCGCGCAACTTTGTAGATAATTTCAGCTCCATACAACTGAAAACATGGATATGGAGTCTGCCAAAGAGTTGAGATGCACGTCTGATCCGATGTTGAATCTCTTCATCGATGTCTGCAGTGGTGGACAGGTGAGAGTCGAGATACCGAAAGTGGGTAACATTAGAGAGGGTAGTACCGTTAGCTGGATGGAAGGCAGAGGTGTGGCTGAACCAGGGAAAGGCTGAAAGAGAATCTGAGTCTTACGTACATTCACTTCAAGGTCGAAGTGAGCATAGTCATTTGGGTAGGTGTTCAGGATCTCCTGTCGGTCGCGTTCAGTGTGAGCGACAAGGGTGAGGTCGTCTGCATAATGAAGTTCAGTAAAAGAAACTGCTGACACCATTGTTCCTCCCCCGAGTCGTCTTATGTTGAAAAGACCCTTCATCTGGTACTCTATGTCCTCCCCGCTGGCTAAATTGGCACTGGCACGAGTAAGGAAGGCGGCCGAGAAAAAAAAATGGAAAAGAGAGTTGATGCCAGTACACTTCTTAGTTTTACCCCAATTTGGATGGGAAAGAACTCAGACTGGTTGCCATTGTACATGACACTGCCGTTCATGCCACCGTTGAGTTACCTCACAATGGAGAAGAATTTTGGTGGGCAGCCAAAACGGCTGAGGGTCTGCCAGAGGGCATCTTTGTCGACCGAGTCGAAGGCCTTGTTACGGTCGATGTACAGGTCACGACTCTGTTCTCTGCACTTTTCCTGTATCTGACGGGCAGCAAAGATCATGCCAGTGGTGCTACATGATGGTCTAAAGTCACACTGAGATTCTGGGAGATTGTTTTCGGATCAGGAAGAAGTCTGTTTAGGAGGACTCGGGCGAATTTCTTGCCAGCTACAGATAGCAGTGAGATTCCGCGATGGTTGCCACAGTCTGACTGGTCTCCCTTGATCTTATAAATATTGACGATGAAGGCATCTTTAAGAGCTTGGGGGATTTCCCTCTTTTCCCATATATTCTCCAGGAGAGAGTGGAGACGGCTGGTCAGAAGAAGTCCTCCTGCGTCATACACCTCGGCTGGGATTCCATTAGGTCCTGGGGCTTTGTTATTTTTCATCTGTTTGATAGCAATAGCTACCTCATCCAGGGATAGAGGATAGCTGAGACGGGTCAGCTCTGGGTGCTGCGGGACCTGCTGAGTACTCAGGACACCCACAATGGTGTTTCGGTTGAGCAGCGAATGTTAGTGCTATTTCCAGTGCTGAAAGATGGCTTTTTCATCTTTAATTAGGGAGATACCGTCGGATGAGAGGCGGGGGGCTGCGCCATGAGTGATTGGCCCATAAGATGTATTAGTGGAATTGAAAAATTTGCACAGCGTGTGTTGATCTGCAAGTTTTTTTTATTTCACATTCTTTACTTTTCAAATTTTCATTCTTTAGATTGCAAAGTCGAGTTGGGCCGCCGCTTTCTTTCTGTGGAAGGTATCAACTTTGAACCGAGACTGAGGGTTGTTCTGCCAGTCAGTTAAAGCAGCACGTTTATCATCGACGATTACATTGATTTCCGGGTCATTTTCATCCAACTAGTTCTGTTGTATTCTTTCTGTCAGGCTGAGGGTATCTCTGCAGGTTTTTTCATGACATTGTCGTGAATACCCCATTTGGCTCTGGGATTTGGGTTGTTTATGAGCCCATGTTCGAGCTGCTCTCTGAAAGCATAATCAACTGCTGAATCCTCCCGATGTTTAGTGTTAAAACCTCTTGTGGAGGCTTGTTGCCTTCACCGTTTTGGGGCGACGTGAAGTGAGAGTTTGACTCTGACGAGCCCGTTGATCAGTGTCACAGTGGTCTGGGCCACATTTGACTTGGGTGATAAGGGCATCTCGGCGATTTCTTTCTCTGACAATGATGGAGTCAATGAGATGCCAGTGTTTGGATCGTGGGTGTTGTTACGAACCCTTGAACTTGTCGACCTGCCTAAACAAGGTATTGGTGATTGTGAGGTTGTGTGCAGCACACATGCTGAGGAGGAGTAGGCCTTTGGGATTATACTTGCCTATTCCGTTTCTTCCTGTCGTTTCCTGCCATATGTAAGTATCTCTGCCAACTCTGGCATTAAAGTCACCTTGGAGCACAATGAACATAACATGATAATGATAGTGAAGCCTGGAAGGGTTCATATCTTAACTTGTATGCTCGTGCGTATGTTGCCCCGTGAGAGTTACCCTGGGCCTCCATGTGCCCAGGTGGGATGGTCAAAGTATTACACTGTAAGTGTGTCAAATGAGGAGTGACTGATCCACATGTAATTTAAGATTTTTGAAATACGTAGTTAAATTAAACACAATTTTTCATGTAATTATGCGAATGATGGGAAAATAAAAGATATAGATGGGGTATGGTGGAAGCATCGTAAAAGTTGTAAACGTTGTGTGGATTCACTGGGTGGTTTGAAAGTGTTTATTTCCATTCATAATTTCGTAACTACACCCTATGATAATTTTTCTTAGTGTTCATATATAATGAAGATAATGCAGAGTATAAAATGCCATATACAATACTTATACATAATGTTATCTATACAGCCGTACTATGACTGTGTGTGTCCGTGCGTGTGTTGCCTCGTGATAGTTAGAGTGGCCCCCGTCCAGAAAGGACGCTGTTCTAACCTCCGGCACCGACCCAGGTGGGCTAGAGATTATGGTTCCGACTATACATGACAACATCTCTATTGAAGGTACAAAAACTCATAATGATGTAGATTTACTTACATGTCATTAACTGTATTCCTGAGCTGATATCTTCTATCATCAGACATTCAGTATAATATCTTGACAACTGGAAGATGATGAATCCTACTGTTTGTTAATACCGATGACCAACTTTATTAGTTAAATGGAAAAATCGCAGCAAACAATTTACATCATGGATGCCTTCAAGGGCCAATGAAATTTTCTATATACACAAATAAAAGGCCAGTATATAATAGAAATTTCATGTTTCTGCTTAAATATATACAATTACTTACCTTACCTCGTGAGACGGCCACCCTTCTAAAGGGTGCACAAATATGGGGAAAAAGTTCATTTCATTACCCACTATCAACAGTTAGGCTTACGCCAAAAAGACAACTCACTTAACTTTTTTCACGAAACACTTGTGGCGTGCTGCAATATAAGTTCGCCGTCCCTCACCCATGGCAGTGAGTAGCCTGGCGCTGTTACGAAACTGTTACTCAAAAACTACCATTTATAATTCTACGATTTTAGATTCACTAATCCATGCAACAATGATCGATATTAAAGCAGGTAATTCCAAACTGTACTGCCCATCTCACTAACATGTGAGACTGAATATGGCTTGTCAGGTCAGCATCAAATTTCCAAGTGTAACAATTCAGTAAATGTTTCATTATGTAACACATAATTCTGAATGTCCCGAGTGGATGATATGAAAGACTAAGAAAATGCATAGTTAATGTAAATCTGCATTAAAAAATAATTAAAATTGTTTGGAATAGAGAAAATCGATGAACGAGTTGTTTAATGCATCATTATTTACACTCCAATAAATTTGAACCAATAATTGCCATCGCATCCATTTGTGCCGAACAGGAGAATGAGTAAAGTTTCGACCACAGTAGTATGTAAGTAATGTTTATCCAAGGTTCGAAAAAAAATAGATTTTTCATATGGTTTTATTGATGTTAATACATGTTATGGGTCCTTGACCAGGACTACTTCATTGGTAATTAGAACAAGCTACTTAAGTGCTCGAGTAAAAACCTTTTTGGGTAATTAGATGCAAGAACCTCTGAGTAACTTCCTCTGGTAATAAATAAGAGAAGGTAAATCTGTGTAGTTCAATAACAACAAGTTTCAGGGTGTAGTAGTGGCCAGAGTAGAATGATAACTGCACATTTTGTTTCAGTTCAATGTTAAGGTTAGCAAATACGTGAAAGTAGGTGTGTGGATGACCATTTTCTCGAATGTTAAATAGTTTGCTGCAGTAATCATTTTAGTTCGTTGTTTCTTGCTTTAAAAGTCTATTGGTATTTACTCGCAGGGCTCGTGTTGACCTGCTTCACAACACAGCATCTCCTTAGTGGCCTCACCGTCATCTTCCCACGGACCATCACAGAGTCGCACGTACAAGTACACCTGTGTGTGGAATTAAGACGCTTTAATGAATTATTATTTAACTATATGATCAGTGTTAAAATACAGTTTCTATGAAAGAGATTAATTTAATTTTCTTTAGTGTATATATAGTTATAAGGCAGGTGGATAGATGTGTGTAGACATGTTTATATATGTATATTATGCATATAATTAATAGAGATATTATTCTCATATCCGACCAACAAAAAGATCAGAATTAAGAAAAATAAGAACATAGTACTGCTACGTCACTGAGACTAGAATCAGCCATAAGTTATGGCAGGTAGTAATTAATGTTCACATAATGTAGTGTTAGGTCTCTACAGTTATATTTTCTCTAGTTAGTGTAACAGCCTCAGGCCTGTTTCCCTCACTGGAAAATCAATTAATATTAATTTTATATAATTTGCCAGTGTACTGTATATATAGTAAAGAAGTATTGATGATTTTTATATATGTTCTCCAAATGAACTAGTTGATGTATCACAATGATTATTATGTCCGACTTGTAGATAATGTAGGTGTTTATGGGTAGTATGACACACTGTCTCATTGAGTTGCTGTGGTTTGGCTGTGTCAGGGGTTTGGCACTTTAAAATTAAATTTTGTACTGCATTGAATAGATCCTAGGAAATCATAGGGGTAAAGCAGAAGGTGAAGACGTGCCTCTCAGTTTATAAATGAGGAAGGCAGCATTTGTTAGAATTAAAGCAGTTAAATGTGATATAAGTGATTGTGCCATCACAAGGATTGGAGGACCGAGACGTCATTCGTGATTTTGTATGTTATTCAAATTGAAGTTTGTATATTGGTAATCTGACTATATTTGTGGGAAGTGTTGAGTAAGGACACCCTCCCTTTTGTCGCAGCAGAAGTGAGGTGTAGTCTACATATTCCTTGTGTGCGTTTACTTTGAATGTTATTTTAGAGTGCGTCCTGATTAATGGGTCAAAGGAGTGAGGAACTGTGTGTGGTGATGTAATTACAACAAGAGTGGGACTGTGACATGTTGTAATAATAACAAGTGCCTGAAACATGCATTGACGTAGTCATATAAGTATAAATCAAAGACACTGTTGCTACACAACAAGAAGTGTAAATAGATATGAACAAGACCCTTATGTACACAGGGAAGATTTCGTTTATCCTTTGACTTGGTGCATCAACTTTCCTTATTTTTTTAATATTAATAATGGTGTTGTGATGCAAAAAAATAGGAACTAACTGTTTGGTTATTTATGTTACAGATTTTGGCCCATTATTTAAAATTTTTGAGCTTTATAGCATGATGAAGATAAACATTAATAATATCAAGATTGCACTGGGTAACAGTAGCTTAATGGGGAAAAAGGGAAAGACAGTAGTTATTGGGGTTAGCCAGGAAAATATTTTTTAGGGTTAATTTTCACCTTCCCTCCATACACTTTGTGTAGCATTACTCCAGCAGCGTGTGCTGGATAATGGTATTTATTTACTGAAAAAGGTTTGCCCTTCACTCTTCCTATGTCGTTAATACTTCCGGGATTTTTTTCCTATACATGCGAGCCTATTCTCCATTTTCTCTATCTTTTACTTTTATATCATCATGTGTTAGTGGAGACTTACTTCAGTTGGCCCAACGACGTCTTTACCCTCCTCAGCCAGGTCGTCACACATACTCTGGCCCACCGTCTTGCCGTCGGGAAGCTCGAAATTCAGGTCTCCTTCGCTGGTTATTTCGTCCCACTGTAAACGCAAGTGAAAAAAAAAAAATATTGTACTTTACGATAAGAAATACAATGGATGAAAATTAAGCACACTGGCACGTCTTCCGATTGTTATGTTTATTTTCATACAATTTGTTATTATTAGACTTTTACTATGCACATTACTTCATATAAAATGAACGAAATGGTGACTTGATTTATCTCTGGTAAATATGTTATTATATAGAAAAAAAGACTCACCTCTGTGCGGCATCTGTCATGACAGTCTTTTTGATCTTCACAGTCTTTCACCTCGAAAGCTTCCATAGGAAACACCTCTTCCTCTTCTGTAGCCTCAGTAATGAAAGCGCCACAGTCGCACTCTGGAACTCCTTGAGCCCTGTAAGAAGGAGTGGCTGATTACAAATTAGTTTGATCTTCCCAATACAGGTTAGTTGTTCTATAAGTTTACTTTGCTTGTTTCCAACAAAAAATGTCATTGAATTATATAAAAATAGGTAAAAAAAATGGATTTGAGAATACGTTTCAAAATATTCTTGAAGTTATGCAATTACGTTAACACTACTGTCCGAATAATTAGTGTGTATGGTAATAAGATATGCATTGAATATGCCCAATATGCCATTGTAACTGATGTAGTTATGCTTGTATGTGACTGGTGTCCATGTAAAATATAGTACACCGTAAGACACCAAAATTATACGGAATGTAAAAAAGTTTAGTGAAAGCCTTCCCGTAATCTCAACGTGCAGATGTCTGGGTGTAACTGAGGCAGGGAACCAATAAATGAGAGTACCGTACTCCTATCTGAGAGTTGGCAACAATTGTCCTCCACTCTAAACTTTGCCGGGCTGTTTTTACCAAACCTCTAAGGTTTTTTAGCTCTTTGGGAAACCCTTTTTTTTCATTCATCCATTCCTCTTTCTGCCTTCCCTGGCTCCACTATCCTCAACTTTGCCCATTAATGTTTGTTATTATCCCGTCATCCCCAATTATAGGACCACAGTATTTCATTTTTATTTCTCTGTACATATAAAGTATTTCACTAGAAGGTTTTGCTAATCTTAGTACTTCTTCGTTTGTTTTCATGTCAGTTTAGAAAATTCATGGCATTTACCTATCACACCACATTTCATTGATACTAACTTAATGAGAGCTAGATGTGAGCACAAGAAATAATTCGATTTTTTAATAATTGTGAGAAGAGAGATAATAAGTGTAAATATCGGCATCAACAAGACACGCCTCCCCACTCTCTGTCTTAAATTTATATAGTTTATGCATTAAAATCCGACAAATGACGCTGTAATGTGTTGTCAATAGTTTGCTCTAATATTATTTGTTCTTAACTGAATTTCGTTGTTTTTAGCCATTGTTCGACTTGGAAGTGTGGGGGCCTTAGTTTGAAGCCTTATTTTTAACCTCTATTTTATTTACAGTGATATATAATCAACACACAGAGTAGCAGTTATGATTATCTATACTTGTAAACTTTTCCCTTAAAGCGCAGTAAGAGGAACAATTATAGCAAGTGATACACGAGGCCAGTCGACGCTTTTACCTATACTTAAGAAAATTTCATTCAACTTTGTAGGATTCAAGAATTATTCTGTTACCGGTGTAAGAAATGAATATGATCCACACATTTGTAGATCTACACAGGATGTACGCAGGAATAATGCTTCTTTCCCTTCCTGTTATATATATATATATATATATATATATATATATATATATATATATATATATATATATATATATATGAATAATGTGGGTTTTTTCATAAATGCAACCTTACAACAAAAAGTGAATAATTAATCAAGAGAAAATATGAACCTTTCTTCAACTTTCAGACATTGTACTCAGCTATTTGCTTTTGTTACGTAAATACAACTCTTGTTAACCTTTCCTGTACTCTGACGGTAATTTGGTAATGTCATGTAATAAAGAGTTCTTACCCTCATAATATTTAGTGGCTGATGGACTAGTGTAATTATTAAAAATTTTTGCGTTATTAAAGGCTTTACTATTAACATTATAACGTCAATATCAACCTCTTTTAATGGTAATGTTGAGATAGAGTTGAGTATCGACCATGAATCTAAACTTGTATATAACCACAACTATTGTAGTGTAATAAATTGTTACCATGTTAGGACGTTCAGGGAGAAGAGTATCACGAGGAACTTCATCTTGCTTGTCAGGAGTAGTATGACTGAGGACCACCATCCAAAAACCTCTTTTATATTGGCTACGGAGAGACCCCAACCAGAGTTCAGGGTCACCCCTCCAGGTGGACGCTCTCAAGCTCCCCGTTCAGACTTGAAAAAAAAAACGTACCTAATTTCCGTGTAGAAACAAGAATGCACGTAACTGCTTGGCGTAGACTAGAATGAAAATTATAGACTATTTTTAATTTTTTTTTTTACTTCTAAGAGTTTCCCAAATTCTCTCACTCTAAACGGTAAATGAAAAATATTATCAGAATATGCATCAAGATAAAATAATATTGAAATTATTCCTCATCTTTAGTATTTTTTTTTTTTTTTTTTTCAGGGAATTAGCCACCCGGGCACAGGTCAAACGACCTACAACGGAGCCTGGGGCGAAAAAAATAGGAAAGAAATTGAAAATATAGATAAAAGGTTATACTGTATTAATCTACACCTCGAAGATGCCGGAAAACCAGCTTTTAAAGTGAGACAGATTGTAAGAGCATGGAAACACAGAAGGCAGAGCATTCCACAGTTTGGCTGTGTGAGGAAAAGGAGGTACTGTGATGGGTTATTCTCGTGTGACCGACATCCACCGAAATGGTGGGCACCGCGGGCAAGACGTGTGTTACGGACCCAAGGCCTTGCCGGCGGTACACAGAATGCCAAATCCACTGAACATTGCCCGTTAAGGTACCTGTAAAGGAGAGAGAGCTGCATTGCGGCGAAGGGGAGAGAGATTGTCGACTAAAGGAGGAGAGTTAATAAGACGAAATGCCTTTGATTCCACCCTATCTAATCGTTGGGCAGAAGAAGAGCCACCCCAGATATGAGAGCAGTACTCCAAGTTAGGACGAATGAATCCCTTATATACTTGGAGCAACTGCTCAGGAGTATAGAAAATATAGCATTAATAGATGTTCTGGAATATGCTTGCAGTGATATAGTATGGTGTAGCAAAGACAATTGCGTTTTCCATCACAGAACTACATGCAATAACAAAAATAATTTGTAAGTTATGTTCATCCAACCTGATAACTGTTGAGTTAACCTTCGCCTGGGTGGAGGAACAGTCGGTAAAACACAACTTCTTTAAAATTTTGGCGCTGGTCATCTGGGGAACCTAAGATTCTAACTATGGGATTAAGTACTTCAAACAATAAGACAAATTATCTCTACGAGATTTCGGTCATAAAACATTTTTCTATCGAATAAGAAAATACATGTCATATGTTAGGTTAGGTTAGGTATGATAAGTTACATTATAAGTTATAAGGTTAGCTTAACATACCCCGGTAAGGGGGGGGGGTAGTAAATCAAAACTAGTGATTTCCGATTGAAAATGAAGGTCTAAATCGTTCATAGCACATCGCAAACCATCAGAAACAAAACAGAGTCATCATGTCTAAGTACAGGGATGACCAAAACGTAAAATTTACCCAGTATAACCTTTCTCGAAACTAAACATTCAAATACTTATGGTAGTTACAGTAAATTTTACCCATTAATTAATATAAATTATGATATATCCCAGTGGTTTATTAGTAAATCATCAAAACATTAACAGCACTATGATTTCATGTTTACCTGGCATCAGGCATTTTCAAAAGAAAGTCCAGACATGTCATTACTTCTCAATTGACTCGTATCTCCATCCGTGAGTCGTCTGCTGGGAAACTGGTGACGTCATTGCAAATGGCGGCCCTGTTTCTAGAGAAATAAACTTATCTCGACTATTATAACAGGACTTTAACTTTTTATTACAAATTATATATACCGTATCACTCTACAGGAATGGCAGAGTGTATTTCTTGTGTTTACCCAGAACCGTCAACTCATCCATTCACATCACTTGTCCATTAATGCTGAACAGGAGAATGAGTCAAGTCTTGATCACAGTTGTATATGAATAAGGTTTATCCATGCTTTTGAAAAAAGAAAGTGTGTTTTTATTGATGTCAGTATATACTGTATATCACCCCTTAAGTAGTTAGATGTTAGGGGTCGTTGACCAAGGTTAGCTAATATGTGAAAGTAGGTGTTTGGATGACCATTTTCTTGAATGTTAAATATTTTGCTGCTGTAAGCATTTTAGTTCGATGTTTCTTGCTTTTAAAGTCTTGCGGGCCTTCTGTCTATTGGGATTTAATTGCAGAGTTCGTGTTGACTTGCGTCATAACATAGCAACTCCTTAGTGGCCTCACTTACAAGTACACTTGTGTGTGGAATTAAGACGCTTTAATGAATAACTATTGAACGACTGTATATGATCATTGTTAAATTTTATTTTTTATGAAAATTATTTGTTAAATATTCTTCAGTGTTTGGTCATAAGGCAGGTGGTATTATGATATATAATATAATATAATATAATATAATATACAATTCTCATATCTAACCAACTAGAAGATCAGATTTAAAAAAAACAGTTGCTTCCTATTGCAATGCGACTGATACTAGAATTAGCCATAAGTTATGTAGGTAGTAGGTAAAATTAATTAATACACAATGTAGTGTTAGGCCCCAGAGTCACGGTCATGTTATTTAGTACCCTATGTAAGAGATATATTGTATCGAATTAGTTTAACAGTCGTCTCTGTCTCCACTCGTGTTCTAGTTTGAAGGGACTCATTTTGAAGGGTTTGGCATTCACAGATACGAAACAGCATGCAAAGGTGTCTGAAGTTCCCATTCCCTACATATCTTGTAACGGTTACATCACCTGAAAGGAAAATATATTACTAAGACCATCCCAATCAATATTGTTACGAGTGAGAGTTCGATGGTTGGTTGTGGATTCGCACCGTGAATGTTTTTTGTTTGTAACGTCATTTCTGCTCGCTTTGTTTACCTCCCAAGCCGCGTGATGCCAGTATGGGGATGGCAGTGATAAGTTAAGTATCTCCTTTCTTATTGTCCGGTATATTTCTAGTGGTATAACGTGTAAACCTTGCTCGACTTTTAGACCACCAAGTGCAGTATTATATGTGAGATTGTTGTTAATCATATTTTAGAGTTCTATGGAAAATAACTTACTTATTTATGAAGTTTCGTGTGGTGGATAAACCTGTACCACGTTGTTCATGGTAGTTGCTAAACTAAATAAGTGTTTAGTCTTTACTTTTATGGTCATTATTTTGTCACTCGGTTGAGGCACTTATGATATTTAAGAATAGCCCAACCTTGAATGTAAGTGGAAGTGTTTACTGCATTCCATGTAACAATTGTAATGGAAATTATGGAGGTCAGACTGTGATTTTATCAATATATATATATATATATATATATACAATCAACACCTCAACCCTTGATTCAGACACGGCCCACAAGCCTATGACTGTGACCGGGGAACGCTAACCGCTGGACCACCAGGATACTAACAGTCCTAGACTTTGTTATATTTCACACAAAGCCTGTTCAACGAGGTGTTGATTGTATGTAGAAGTCGCGTGCTTTATTGGGCTAATAAATATATATGGATCCTCGTGTTTCGAAGCCGGATTTGGTAAAACGTTACTCTGACCACCTAAGTGATACGGGTGGTCCCCATTAGAGGTTCACGGCGCCATAAGCTCGTTGAACAGGCTTTGTGAAATATAACAAAGTCTAGGACTGCTTTAGTATCCTGGTGGTCCAGCGGTTAGCGTTCCCGGTCACAGTCATAGGCTTGTGGGCGTGGGTTCGAATCCTGGCGGGTTGAGGTGTTGATTGTATGTAGAAGTCGCGTGCTATTGGGCTAATGAAATATATGGATCTCGTGTTTCGAAGCCGGATTTGGTAAACGTTACTCTGACCACCTAAGTGATACGGGTGGTCCCCATTAGAGTTCATGGCGCCATAAGCTCGTTGAACAGGCTTTGTGAAATATAACAAAGTCTAGGACTGCTTTAGTATCCTGGTGGTCCAGCGGTTAGCGTTCCCCGGTCAGATCATAGGCTTGTGGGCCGTGAGGTTCGAATCCTGGCGGGTTGAGGTGTTGATTGTATGCGCGTGCTTTATTGGGCTAATGATATATATATATATATATATATATATATATATATATATATATATATATATATATATATATATATATATATATATTGTCATGGTCATGTTGACTGCTAGTCTGTTTTAACACTACTGATTCTTATTATACTCCACGAACGCAAAACATGAGTGGGTTAGCCATCCCTGAGAAGACATGTTTTTCCCCGTCGACGCTTAGACTCATGATCCCTCCCAGTAAATCCCGCCTTCGAACACAGTTGTCAATACGTTTTTCCTCTCTCCTAGCAAGCTCAATCTTGGATTAGTTTATGTGAATCAACTCGGGTAATTCGCCAGACCTCTGTCAACTGAGGGTCATCTTTGAATGAGTAACAGTTGGTTTGTTTGTAATCTCTGTCATTGCGTGAGTAGCGATCGCTGGCAACTCACGCATATATAACCATGGGGGAGAGGCGTCCTCAGTCACGTCCTCTCCTGTTTGTCCCCAGGTATGTACTGTAGATGTGTTCCCTAACCATTCAGTTTGATTCAGTCATTGTAGTGAATTATCAGGGTTCATCAGTGTTCATGTTATAACAGTGGAATTGTTATTCACCCAGTGTGAGAAGTAATATAAAGTAAATGTCGTCTGACGTTGCGAGACAAAAGATTTGTTTGTGTTGTCATCATGCTTCCCAAGTCTTGTCCTCCGTCACGTCCTCTCCTGTTTGTCCCCAGATCCAGGCTGAGCTTATTTGACATTCACTGATAGCCCCGACCAGTAGATTTCCAGCAGGGAGCAATATATCAACGATGTCGTTGATTCGACATGATTGAAACGACAGGTCCACCTCGTGGGCCGAGGGCCAGACCCGCCTTGTGTTGAGTGTAACCGACCACAACAGCAGTCATCAGTTGTTAGGCGCCAGTGTTATACCCTGGGACATGCCTTGGAGTTATATGGTCCAGAGTGTCTGTTGTAAGGCTTGGGGATAATTAACTGGAAATAATTATCCCATGTTGGGTAGTGGACCCATGTATTTGTTGGTTTCAGTAATAACATGTTGTGTGT